CAAAGGTGTGCTAGTATGAAGCCAGTGTGGGTGTGATGGAAATGCTGAAGCTGTGTCTGAGCCTCGCAGCTTCATAAATCTCAGTAATCTCTGGAGGAAGAAGGATGTGACACTTCCCGGGGAGCCAGAAACTCTCCAGAAGGCTTCCCTCTTTCCAGTCTTCTTTCCATGGGCTGCAGCTCTGTGCTATTCATATCCAAATAGCTTTTTTCTTCACATGAGAGGGAGAAGGCAGGCAGTGTTTTACGCAAACCTCATCCAGCGATGCCTCTCCCCAGCAACAAGCTGCAAGGATTTAGTACCGAGATCACCCTAGAGAAACTTCAGAGCTTTCCTTAGAAAGTAAATGCTCTTGCTCTTCCTTAATTCCCTGACTTCAAAGCCTAAGTGTGAGGAGGCTCACGATCTCCCTGCTTTCTTCCTGCAAACTTTTGTCCCCAGTAGAGCTGCGCTGCTGGAACATTCATCTGAAGCTGTCAGTACAACACACCCAGAGAAGGAGCACAATACTCTGCCATCACATAACCGACTCTTTCTTCACTAAAACTACAATCAGAACAACTGTGACGGGAAATACAGTATCTTTCATGCTTCTGATCTCTGAAAATGACATGAAGATCATGTAGCTCTTGTCTGGGTGTTTCCTGCAATCTAGATGTACTCGCCTATATGGCAGTACTAGCAGTACATTTAGGAGATGCAGAATTGTTAGCAAACAAAGCTGAGACTGAAGCCACTCTGAGACACTGGACAAGCGTCAAAATTCTACTGGTAATCCTGTTACAGGACAGGAGTCAGTCTCCTACCAGCAAGTGCTACTACAAATCAGCCGGTTGTTCAATAGCAACTTCTTTGCCCACCTCTTCTTTTGGCCTTAAAAATGACCCCTCCATAAAGAGGCTCCTGCAATAAAGAAAAACACTATAAAGATGGGAGGGGTGCAAAAATACAGAGCTGGGTGCAAGCTTTCTGTCCCCCAGCAGTCCTCTCCGAGGTTACCTGGGTCAGAAAACTTGGCTCAGAATCTGAAAACTTTTGACAAAGGGTAATTCCAGATTTGTTTAAGTGTTAGATTGTCGTATGATGCCAGAGAAAAATTCTCAGCAGCAGGAGTTACTGAAAGAAGGATACAGTCTCGCTACTGTCATTAAATCAAATTCCAAAGCAAAGCTCCTACTGACTTTTGTGGTACAAGATCACAGTCTCAAACCAAGATGGGAAACTGTGAGCTGCGGAGAGGAGACGTCACATCAAGAATGTGATGGAGCCTCTGTGGGGCAAAAATAAAGGCACGGGGTCTCTTTCTGCAGCTCTGCTGACTTCAAGGGGATCACATGTGTGCAAGCAGCTGCAACAGTGTGGTTTAAAGCTGGCCAAAGGTCGTGAGAAAAGTACTTGAATTTGATAATAATAATAATAATAAATATTAATAATGCATGCCTGTATTTGCTTTCCGTGAATATCCCAGTGAGCATGTTGGCTGCCCAAACAGCACATTTTAAACAACTCTTTCAGAATATTTACTCTAGGATTTTTGCTGGAATTAATTCCCTCAGCTCTAGTGGACTCCTCTGCTTGGCTGGCACTAAAGACAGAGGGCAAAAGGAACTGTTGAAAAGGCAAGTACCTTTTCCTACTAATCCTTTCTCCTTTAAATGTGCCCCAGTGTTTCCAGCAAATATGGGAGTGAGATGAATATAGCAAACCATATGGGTCTGAGACTGCTCTCTCAACCCTATGTTGGTGTAAATGGTAGTACTCAACTGTGTAAAACTAAGTTACAGTGATTTACATCAGTGTGACAGTGA